ACTGGGTGTCAGTCCTCTAGAGAATGAGAATGGAGAGTTAATAGTAGATAATAAGGAAATGGCACATGAAATGAATAAATATTTGGATCTATCCTCACTGTATAAGATACAAAAAATAGTAATAGCTGTAAATCTAAAGATAGAGAGGAATTTGGTAAAGTTACAATGACTAGGGAAATGGTACTGAATGAACTAATGGGGCCAGAGGCTGATAAATCCCCTGGTCCCAACAGATATTGTCCCAGGGTTCTAAAAGTGGTGCCTAATGATGCACTTGTGTTAATTTTCCAAAATTCATTTGATTTGGGAAAGATTTCATCAAACTGTCAAGTAGTAAATGTGACTAAAATGAAAGAATTGCAGATGCTGGATCTGAAACAAAAACAGAAAGTGCAAGAGAAACTCAGCAGATCCTGCAACAACTGTTTTGATGAAAGATTACTGGAATTGAAACATTAACCTTATTTTTCTCTCTACAGGTGCTGCTAGACTTGCAGAGTTTATCCAGCACTTTCTGTTTTTGTAACAAATATAACTTCTTTACTCAAGTGATGATGGAGGCATATAGCAGGAAATTACAGGCCAGTTAGCTTGATGTCTGATGTGGGGTAGGTTTCAGAATTGATCATTAAAAGGGATACAGCTGTGTTCTCAGAAAAACACAAGATGATCAGGAAGGGATAACATGAGTTTGTGAATTAAAATTATATTAAACCAATACATTCAACTTCTTTGAAGGAGTAACCTGTGCTATGGATAAAGTAGAACCCGTAGACATACTGTACTTGGATTTCCAAAGATAATAAATAAGCTGCCACTGCACAAATTAAGAGCTCATGGTATTGGGGTAACTATGAGCAAGGACAGAAGATTAGGTGGCTGGCAAAAATATCACAGTTTTTTTTTTGTTGGCAGGATGTGATGTGTGGAATTCCACAGGATACTATACTGTGACATCACCTTCTTACTATTTATGTGAATGACGTAAACAGTAAATTGTAGAAAGTGTCTATGCATGTACAGCAGGTAATAAGGAGGGCAAATGGAATGTTGGAATTTTTGCTAAAGAAATGAAGTATGAAAGTAGGGAAGAAAGTAGGGAACTGTACAAGGCATTGGTGAGACAGGATCTAGAGTATTGCATACAGTTTTTGTTCCCTTACTTGATGAGGGATGTAATCACATCGAAGGCTGTTCAAACAAGGTTCACTAGATTAGTTCCAGAGATGGAAGACTTGTCCTATGATGAGACATTGAGCAATTTAGGCCTATACTCTCTAGGGGTGAGAAAGATGAGAGAAGACTGAATTGAGGTATATAAGATGCTTAAGGGGATTTAGAAAATAGGTGTAGAGTACAGCAGTCAAGAATGAAAGTCACAGTCTTAGGCTAAGTAGTGGCAAATTTAAAACAGATAAGTAAGAATGACTTCTCTCAAAGGGTCATGAAGCTATGGAATTTATTATCTCACAGTGTGGTGAACACTGGGACACTGAATAAATTTAAGGAGGAGATAGACAGATTTTTAATTAATAATGGGTTGAAGGGTTATGGAGAGCAGGCAGGAAAATGCAGCTGAAGCTGAGGTGATTATATAAAATAGTAGAGTAGTTTCGAGGGGTTGAATTGCCTACTACCGCTCCTAGTTCTTATGAGCAAATGTATGGCAGTTATATTTGCAGATGGCACAAAGATACGTCATGTTATGAGGAAGACATAAGGAAGATGCAGATGGGTATAGATAAGTTATGTGAGTGAGCAGATGGAGTACAAGTGGTAAAATATGAAATTTTTCACTTTGGCTAGAAGAATAAAGAAACAGAGGATTACTTAAATTTAAAATGAATGCAGAACTCCAAGATGCAGAGGGATCCAGGTGTTCTAGTGTGTCAGTCACAAAAAAAACCTTAGTCTGCAGGTTTAGCAAGCAGACTAATATAATACTATCCTTTATTGCAATAGGAATTGAACATAAAACTAAGGATGTTATCTTTCAGTTGCACAGGACATTAGTAAGAAAACAACTTGAATATTTCTGAAGAAGGGTCCCGGCCCGAAATATCAGCTTTCCTGCTCCTCTGATGCTGCCTGGTCTGCTGTGTTCCTCCAGCTCCACCCTGTGTTATCTATTGAATGCATTCTTGGTCTGCTTATTTAAGAAAGGATATAAGTGAGTTGGAGGCAGTTCACTGAGGGTTTATTAGGTTTACACCTGGAATGACAAGGTTGTCTTATGAGGAAATGATGATCATATTGGGATTGTTTAAACTGGAGTTTAGACAAATAAGGTGTTGTTTGATTGAAGTAGATAAGATTCGGAACAATCTTGATAAGGTAGACTTGGAAAGGATGTTTCCTCTTGCAGGCAAGTCAAAAACTATGTACCACTGTTTAAAAATTAGGGTTACCCTTTCAGGACAGGGATGCATTTTTGTTTTCCTCAGTCAGTTGAGCAACTTTGGAAATCTGTCTCAGAAAGTATGGAGGCTGGTTAATTGAATACTTTTAAGGCAGAGGTAAATAGATTCTTGTTAGGCAAAAGAATCAATAGTTATCAAAGAGAAATGGGAATGTAGTATTCAAACCAACAAGTATCAGCCATGGAAGGTTTGAATGGTGGAGTACTCAAGCAGCCAAATTGCTTACTTCTCTTAATACATTAGTTTGTAAGTTTGCATTATATGATCGCAAAAGATGCATGAGAAATGGTTTCTTAGAAATAAATTCAGAAAGTTATTTTTTAAAGCATGACTTCATAATGGATATTATTCTTCAATGATTCACCATATTCTATGCATAAAAATAGCATGGTTACTCAAGCTAGTCTGTTTCCTTCGTGGTTCTCTTACCACACCCATAATTGTGATTCTGATAACTATCACATTAGACAGGTTTTCTCTTCTGAAAAAAGAGAGAATAACATTTGTTGTACTTAATCTGGTCTAAGTAAAATAATAAATGCATTCCAAGTAAGTTACAA